CGGTGCTCGGGGCGGAGCTCAGGGCGGAGCTCAGGGCGGAGCCCGGACCTCCCGACACAGATTCTACCCTTCCGGCCCCTGCTTGGTCCGCCTCCTCCACCTTCCATCCGGCGCCGGCTTTCGGCGCGACGGTCGCCGGGTTCCATCGTCGCACGGCCCTTGCAGTGCTGGGACCTGCAATGTCGGGCCCCAACGGGGACCTGGGCATGCCGGTAGAGGCGGAAGCGGAAGGCGAGGAGGACGGCTTCGGGGAAGCAGGTGACCCAAGGGGGCTGTTGAAGCGACCTTTGCTCTTCTAAGGTTGACTTCCTAGGAAGGGGAATTGGGGCAGGTCTGGGGGCTTGGAAGGAGCCAAAGACTCCTCCCCGAGCCGCCTCTCCGGAATCTGAGTTGCAAGTGCTGTCTCTCGGATGCAAAGCGAGCATCTGCGAGCCGGTTCCTGGACACTTGTGAGTCTGAGAGCTGTGGGGAGCCAGCCCCGTTTTACATATAGGGGAACTGAAAGCAGCTTCAGGGACACCCGCTCATTTGGTATTTGCTCCAGCCACTTCAACACCTAGGGAGACCCGCGCACCTGCGGGGGGCGGAGCCCAGGGAGCCCTTGGCCTTTAGGGTTTAGCGGGAGGGGCTAACCCGTGGGCGCGCGCTCTGCTGAGTCAGCATCCCCAGCCACTCGACTTTGCAGGTGTGGCCTCACAGCCTTGCCCAGTGTGACCGGCTTAGAAAGCAGCCTCTTGCATGTTTAAGAGTGTAGGGTTAGATTGTGTAGAAAGAACCCTCAGCTCCCTTCTCACTCCCCAACCTCAGTTTGCCCAGCTATAAAATAAAATGATTAGTGCCTCCTGCATTGGAATGTGTCAGGATTAAATGAAAAAATAGCAGTGTTCAGTAAGTGATTATTGTCATTATTCTCTTTGGTGTAGTAAAGATTGGTGTATTAATATTAACTTAAAGGGCAGGCTATGTGGGGTAAGTATGGAGCATGCTTTTTGTTTTGGGTAAAAGCTTTATTGAGCTGTAATTCACATTCAGTTTACCCATTTAAATTGTACAGTTCAGTAGCTTTTTAAACATTCACAGAGTTGAGCATCCATCACAATAGTTTTAGAGCATTGTCATCACTCGGTTCTGTTTTTAATAAAGAGGTAGAGGACCTCCCATTGGAGGTAGTCGTGGGCTGGTAGGTAGGACTGGGCAATGCTAGTGAACAGTGGACAGAGTGTGGTCATTGCTGGTAGCCATGGTAGAAGCATCAGGAAAGGCCTTCCAGGAGGTGACATTGAGTGACTGTTGGCAGACAGGACTTAGAACAGTGGGGAGGAGGCTGTCCCAGGCAGAAGCAAAGGCTTAGAACTGGGAAGTACTACCCTTGACACAGATAACACCTGGCCAGGAATGATGTGGCTGGCCTCCCCCATCTCTTCTCCCAGCTTGTGTCCCATCACACAGAATATGAAATAGTGATAATAATCACCATCTATAAAGTACTTGCTATAGCCAGAACCTGTGTCTAAGCTCTTGATAAATTTGAATACTCACAACAACCCAGTTCTTAACTCCCTTTTCCAGAAAGGGGCAATAACTTGCTGGGATAGAGAAGAACTCACATGCCATGATCCTAGAATCTGAGTTTTGGCTCTGTGACCAGCCAGCTGGAAGGCCCTGAGCAGGCTCCTTCCTTCTTCAGCCTTGGTTTCCCCAGCTATACCACAAGGAGGATGGACTTTAAGATTCAGCAGATTCCCCAAGACTCTCTCCTCTGTGGGAAGGCCATCTCTGGGCCAGAAGGCAGGCACATTTGCACTCATATCCCAAACACACTCCTTGGCCATGTCTGGCCTCTGCCATCTACTTCCCTTTGGTCCTAAGCTGGCAGCCAAGTGTATCTGAGTCATAAGCTGGCTCAGAACTGGGTCCCGCAGTGGGCACAGGCCCAGAACTTGGGTCCTAAGGGACATTGTGTTGTTGAGAGAGGCAGGTCAGGAGTGGCTATGGAGGAGGGAGTGATGGTTTCTAGTGGAGACCAAGGAAGACTTCTTGGAGGAGGCATTTTAAGCTGGTCCTTGAAGAGTTGTGATAGAGACATTCTGGGTGGCAGGGACAGAGGGACAGTTGAGAAATGGTAGGGAGGCTGGAAAAGTCAGAGGCTTCATTCACTGCCTCCCTCATTTATTCAGCAAAAGCTTATTGTATGACAATGAGGGCGCCAGTGAGACAGCAGCAAGCACAAGACCATTCACTCCTCACAAAGCTTTATAGTCCAGTGGGGAATACAGACCGGGCGCACAAAGCAGCACAGCAAGCAATCCTGAGGGGAGGCAGGTGAGCAGGACTAGGGGATCAGAATAGAGGTATGATCAGGTCTGGGGCACTAGGAGGGTTCCTGTGGTGAGATCCTTACTGAGGCTTGAAGGATGAGGGGGACTCATCCAGGAGAGGAGGAAGAAGACAGGAGGGCCCCATCGCATCCCAGGCAGAGGCAACAGCGTGTTCAAAGGGCATAAGGCAGGCAAAGGCAGGTGTGAGAGAGGAAAGGAAAAGGCAGGAGATGGGGCCTGGGAGAGTCTGCCGCAGCCTTATCTTAAGGGTAGAGGAAGCCATAGAAGGGCAGGAGAATAGAGCCTGTCTGGGGACAGAGGTTTGATTGCTCAACTTAGGAATGTGGCCTCTAAGCAGCTACTGAAGTGCAATAGGCTGACTATCCTGTGACTACTCTAACCCTAGAAAAAGGATGATGTACTAGGTATTATTTATTTAAAGCCATTCCTCTTGGTAACTACCCATTTTCCACATGGTGAACTGAGGCTCAGAAAGGAGTAGGGACCTGTCCAAAGCCCTTTTGGAGGCAGGCTGGAGGACAGTAGAGGGGGTTGTCTGGGAGCCTTGAGGAGACACAGGACCTTGGCTCTGTCTTTCCCCTTCCTCCCAGAATATGCAGCCATCAACTCCATGTTGGACCAGATCAACTCCTGTCTGGACCACCTGGAGGAGAAGAACGACCACCTCCATGCCCGTCTCCAGGAGCTGCTGGAGTCCAACCGGCAGACACGCCTTGAGTTCCAGCAGCAGCTCGGGGAGGCCCCCAGTGATGCCAGCCCCTAGGCTCCAAGAGCCCTCAACCAGGCCTCAACCCTGAGTATCTGGACCAGTCTCTGGCATAGGCACTCACCCCCTGGCTTAGATACCTTCTCCAATGCTGCCTGCCTAAGGCAGCCTCCACCAACTGGCATCCCCTCCTGAGGCCAGGTGTGGGCCTGTGACCCAGCCACTTGCCTGTCTGCCCAATTTCTGGGCACTCCCCACTCTGCCCAGGCCTGCAGTGTTCATATTAAATGGGTCTCCCACACCACTGTGCCTTTTTCCTCTGTATTCCAGGATGAGGACCCCAGTAGCTGCTGGAGGTAAGCAGGACAGTCAGGTGTTCAGGCACTGATCACACACCTGCACCCTAGAGAATAGGTGGTGGGGCTGGGGTTCTTTGCCCCCTTGTATTTTTAGACTGAGAAGGTGCAAGTAAGGTCAGGGCCTCTCCCCTACATGGTGCATTTCTGGCCAGCACCTTTTCCCAGCCCAGCTAAGATGGTCAGACATGCTGTGTGACCTTGTAGGATCTTCTCAGACTCTTTGGGTTCTAAGGCCTTTCACCAGGACGTGCTGTGCAACCTTGGCATTGCCTTTCCACTCTTGGCCTATCTCCTCAGCTGGCCAACAGCAGGGCTGATCTGGTTGTCGGTCTCTTATGGTCTTTCTAAATGAAGAAATAGCAGAACTAAAGAGCCTGCTCAGCCTGGGTCCATTCACTGGTGATTCATCTTAGGGTCTCCTGACCTGGGGGGCAGGCCCTGGCTGGTGAGCCGGAAAATCAGAGCCAGAGGGCCTGAATGGCAAGGACCCCCACTCCTGTACTTCAGCTTCCATGGGGTGCAACTGGAGAGAGAGCCCAGCACAAAGCTCGGGCCTAGGGTCAAACTGGCCACTTACCAGCTACGTGGCCTTCAGCATGTCACCTGACCTGGCTAGTCCTCAGTTTCTTCATATGTCAGTAAAGTTGCATACTAGTGGGGAAAGTCAGGGACTGACCCCACTAATGACTTGTTCTCATGGGTTTTGTTGTCCCATTTAACGAGATATGTGAAAACCTGCTTTGGTGAGGTCAGTTCCTGACACCACACCCCACCACACACACACCCCCGCTTTGGTATGTGACTGATGTGACTGAAGGACAACAAGACTGTGCCAACTAGGTCATTGTGAAGATTAAATAAGATCCCACTTGAAGATGCCTTCCTGGCCCTGATACATTAAGAGGGAAACTGAGGCTCAAAGAGGCAAAATATCTTGTGATCCAGAGTCCCTGGCCCCAGAAAGCCTGTCTTCAGCCTCTGGTTCTGCCACCACACTGTGCCCAGAGAGACTGAGAGTGACTGAGGTGTCCCCCTTCCCCTTCCCTATTCACCCAGACAGCACTGCTAGTGGGGACTGCACAGCCAAACTACCTTTTATTGGATTTTCAGTAAAAACATGAACCATGTCAGAGTTTCCATGCAGACTCCTAAAGAGCATTAGCAGACTACCCTGGGAACCCCCTTGATCAGGTTTTTAGGCGGCTTGAACGCCGGGGTGGTGGGGGCTGGGAGGGTCGGGCCATCACCTTGCTGGAAGTTTTGGCTGTGTCCTGGGTGCAAGGTGGGACAGGTGGGCGGCCGCCAGAGGTGAACAGTGCAGTCAAGGCATTTCGGGCGTTGATGGCACACCGACGGCTCACAGGTCGGGTGGTAAGGCTGGGGTTCTTGGCTGCCTTGTATTTCTAGACACAAAGAGTATAGGTGAAGTCAGAGCTTGTTTCCTACATGGTACATTCCTGGGCCAGCACCTGCTTCTTAGCTGAGACAGTGTCAATGTGCTGTGTGACCCTGTATGATGCACTTAGCCTCTCTGAGCTAGGGCTCTGGAGCTAAGAGTCTGCCTCTCAGCACTCTCTCCCTGAAACAATAACAGAAAGAGGTCAGCTTCACCCCAACTCTGACTCTCTCCCTGTTGATGGGAACAAGATGCCTGGGGGCTGATGCCAGGCATAAGAGGGAGGGGCTTCTGGCATCCCCATAAGCCCAGAATTCAATTCCCCAACCAGGGGAGGGTGGGGCAGGGCATCCAGCTCACCTGCAGGTTCTCAAAGTGGGTCAAGGACTTGCAGTGGGACAGCTGTGCCCCTGAGTTGCTGTGGTAGAACTTGTGGCAGACACAGCAGACATAGCCCATCACAGGCACCAGAAAGTCCACACCTGTAGGACAGCTGGGTCTGTGCTCATGCCCCCCAGCCAGGTGTCCCACCCTCTTTAGGGGCCCTTTTCCTTCCCTACCCTCTTGGTGGGAGCAGAAGAGGAGGGGACTAGGGAGTAGGCTGCCTGGCCAGAATACCAGAGATCTGGGGGTCACTGCAGCCGGGACCTGCAGCCAACTCAGAGCTGGGCCTTACCATATGCAGTGTTGGGGCTGTAGGTCTCTGAGCCCTTCCATTCCTCTATGGATGTATCTCTGGATCTTATCTGGAAACAGGCAAGTGCGGGCTTCAGATCTGGCTTCCCCCAGATGCAACTCTGGGGCCTGGAGCCACCTGTGCTCTTGGACACACCTTCCCCTTGATTTCTAGGAGGTTGTGGGTGGTACTCTCTTTGCCTTTGCACATCAACACTTTCAAAGCTCTGCTCAATCAGCCCCCTCTGGGAAGCCCTCCTGCTCTCACAGAGACCATATTCTATGCAGATTCCAACATATGATGTGTCATCTCACTGAATGCTCATGAACAACCCTCTAGGATTACTCCATACATAAGAGAAAACTGAGGCCCAAGGACATTAACTCACTTGCCCAGGTTCACAAAGCCGGTTTGTGGAACAGCCAGGTAGTGGACCCCGGTGAGCCCAAGCTAGAGTTCTCAGCCATGAGCACCCAGCCAGCTCCCTGAGTTCCCACCTGATGCTGCAGTGGCCTTGGTACTATGAGGGTGGGTTTCAAGTGATCAAGGAGTCTGCATCTCACTGCTGGATTGAGCCCCTTCCAGAGGAGGCCATCTAACTCTGGCAATGTCAGTCCTCCCATGCTCAGCAGTGCCCTCCACCACTTTCCAGGCAAACAAATGTAGCTTCTGATATGATAACCACTCCTATTTGCTGATCCCTTCCTAGGACTGGGCCCTGGGGTTTGGCCTTTGCTTATAGCCTACAGTGGGACTGTTAGTTCTGATCAGAGTTTCCTCTGAGGCTCAAAAAAGCCAAATGGCTTGCCTGACATCATGCTATCAGGGAGTCCCAAAGCTGGGCACACTAATGTCACACTATGGCCACCCTCGCAGCCCTTCACCCACAGCCCATGAGCATCCCTGCTGGCCCACTGTCTACTGTAACTGGGGCCACCTCTGTGAAGCCAAAGGCCAGGACCTGGCCCAGAACAGGTGCTCTGGAAACATTTGTTGAACTGCAGAGTCCCAGCCGCTCCAGTTCCTCGCTCGTGGGAGGGAGTACAGCTGCAGCGTTGAGAGTGTGAGCTCTGCAGTCTCACTTCCTGCCACCCAATCTGGTGAGATTCTGCAGGACAGTGCTGGGTACACACGCCTGGCATGCAGTAAGTGCTCGGAAAAAATGTCGGCCGATCTCACCATCACCAGCAGAAGCAGCAGCAGCATCTGAGTTTCCCACCCTGTGCCTTTACTGATGCTGTTCCTGTGGCCTGAGATGCCCCTTCCCTTGCTCCACAAAGGTCAAACTTGCAGCCAGCCTTCACAACCCTTGCATATTTTAACTGCCATTCTATGATGTATAGTCATCATGATGCTTAATTACATAGTTGTAAAAGACAGTTCAGGTTAATAAAGTATGGCATGCATTAGTGCCTACAATGCCAGCACAGTGCCTGGGCCCTGAGAGGTCCCTGCTGGGCTGGGAGTCTGGCCCTGAGCCTGCCTCCCACACCCACTCCCCAGCACCTGCTTGCAGAATTCCTCCTCAGCCTCAATCTCTTCATCATCATCGTCGTCGTCATCCTCCTCCTCCTCTTCTTTATCACCCTCAAAGCAACCCACAGCATCCACTGTGATGAAATGGTCGTCATCTTGGCTGGCTATCTCCTTCTCCAGAGTCTTCAGCTGCCCAGGGAATGAACAAGGGGCTCAGGGCATCATGCCCTGCCCACTCGCCCCCCGCCCCCCGCCCAAGGCCCAATCCCTCTAACTATGAATCTGGGCTGGGATAAACCTCAACTTGCTGTGTGGCCTTGGCCAAGCCTCTTTATCTCTCTAGGCCCATGTCCCCTGAGGGAGCTGGGATTACCTCCTTGGCTTTGTCCTTGTGTCCTTGGGACTTTACGTGTTCCACAAACTTGCGAGGAGTCTTGAAGTAGCGGTTGCAAATGGTGCAGAAGGGTCGCAGGGATTGTTTGGCAATCTGGGGAAAGGAGGACAGGCCAAGTGGGTGGCAGGTAGTGTCCCCATGTGCAAGCAGCCAGGAAGTACCCAGCAAGACCTCCCCTCCCTCTGCAGGCCTAGCATGTCTTTGCTGAGCCTGGCTGTGCTCTGCCTCGCACTGGAACATGGAAAGACACAGCTCTACCCTGCATTGGTGGCTATGAGATGGGATGACAGATGGCAACATAGACAGGACATTCACAGAGCAAAGATAGGAAAGGGAACTCCCCAAAGGACCCCCATGAGCTCCATAGCTGAGTGGAGGGGACAGATGGGGAACCTGAAACCCAAAGAAGAAACATGCCCAATGTGTCCAGAAACCACATTGTGAGTTATAGTCATGCAGAGACAAAGACCAACATTTACTTTCTGCTTCCAACTTGAAGCCTCTTCTTCCCAGCCCATGGCTTGGAGCTGACATGAGCAGGTGCCTCTGCAGCATGCCAGCCCTCCTACCTTGTGGTCCTGTGTCCTGCGGTGTTGGATCAGGTCCCCCATGTAGTAGACCTGGCAGGTGTTGCACCAGCGCTTTGGTGGAGGCTCTCTGAATGACAACAATAAAAAAAAGGGCAATGTGGGCTGCACCTGTAGCTAGTGGGTAGGGCACCAGCCACATACCCCCAGGCTGGCGGGTTCAAACCCCACCTGGGCCAGCTAAACAACAAAGACAACTGCAACAAAAAAATAGCTGGGTATTGTGGTGGGCACCTGTAGTCCCAGCTACTTGGGAGGCTGAGGCAAGGGTCACTTAAGCTGGGATTGAGGTTGCTGTGAGCTGTGATGCCACAGCACTCTTCCCAGGGCGACATAGTGAGACTCTGTCTCAAAAAAAAAGAAAAAGGGGTGGCACCTGTGGCTCAGTGAGTAGGGTGCCGGCCCCACATACCGAGGGTGGTGGGTTCAAACTCAGCCCCAGCCAAACTGCAACAATAAATAAATAAATAAAAAGTATGTAAAAAAAAAAAAAGGTTTGTTAAAAAAAAGAAAGAAAGAAAAAGCAAATAAGTACAATATGACACTATGTTCTGGTTGGAGAGACAGCAGCTTTCCCTAATTGCACCGTAAATGTAATCCAATTCTAAATGTAATTCCAACAGGATCTTTTTTGAAACAAAATGTTTCTGAGGTTCATCTGAATGTCTACTTAAGCAAGAAACCAAGAAGGAAACTTTGGGGGAGGGAATGAGATTTAGAAGTATTTGAGATGCCAGCCATTAAAGCTACAATAGTTAATACTGTGTGGTGTGATGTACACCCTGACTATGACACCCTGACTGTGTAGTGATGAGAAAGAATAGAAAGTCCTGGGCAGCGCCTGTGGCTCAGAGTAGGGCACTGGCCCCATATGCCCCAGCCCTGGCCAAAAACAGAAAAAAGAATAGAAAGTCCTAAACAGGCCCAAATACTGATTTAAAAAAATACAACTTCTGATAAATTGGATTGAAAAACATAGAATAGGCCTGGTGCGGTGGCTCATGCCTATATCCAGGCACTCTGGGAAGCTGAGGTGGGAGAATAGTTAGAGCTCAGGAGTTTAAGACCAGCCTGGGCAAGAGTGAGACCCCATCTCTACTGAAAGTAGGAAAAATTAGCCAGGCAGGATGGCCCCTGTAGTCCTGGCTACTCGGAAAACTGAGGCAGGAGGATCCCTTGAGTCCAGGAGTTTGAGGTTGCTGTGAGCTCAGCTGACACCACCACACTCTAGCCCAGCTGACAAAATGAGACTGTCTTCAAAAAAAAAAGCACAGATTATATAATAAGCCATGTAAAGACAATTTGCTATCCACTTAGAGAAGGAAAGCCATTTGCTCCCACTTTCTACCTACTTCAAAACAAGTTCTACCTACTACAAGAGAGTCAGGTATAAAAATCAAAACCAGACCAGCACAGTGGCTTGTGCCTATAATCTCTGGAGCTTTGGGAGGCTGAGGTGGGGCCTGTAAGTTCAAAACCAGTCTGAAGGACATAGCAAGACCTGACTCTTAAAAAAAATTAACTGGGCATAGTGGTGCCCAGCTATTCAAGAGGCTGAGGCAGAAGGATCATTTGGGGAAAAAAAATCAAAACCATATACAAAAAAGGGGAGGGCCACTACTTACATAATCTTGGATCAGGGAAGATCTTTCTACATGCAAAGATCTTACATCTTTTACAGCAAAGCCAGAAATCAAAGGCTGAGTGCAGTAGTTCACACCTATAATCCTAGCACTGCAAGAGGCTGAGGCAGGTGGATTGCCTGAGCCAGAGTGAGACCTCATCACTAAAAAATAGCCAGGCATTGTGGTGGGTGCCCGTAGTCCCAGCTAGCTACCTGGGAGACTGAGGCAAGAGAATCGCTTGAGCCCAAGAGTCTGAGGTTGTTGTGAGCTATAACATCATGGTATTCTACCAAGGGTGACAAAGACTCTTGTCTTAAAAAAAAAAAAAAGCCAGAAATCATAAAGGAAATTTAAAACTTCTAAGTGCTGCAAAGCACTTAGACACTTCTAAGTGTCACAAAGTCCCCATAAGAACCCTGGTGTACAGG